CACTCACTCACTCACTCACTCACTCACTCACCCACCCACCCATTGACCCGTAACATACTCGACGCGCCGACTAAGAGGTATTTTTTTGTAAAAAAAATAACTCAATAAAACAATGGACCTTTTTGACGATGTCACGCTTTTCCCTTCTTTTCATTCAAGCAAAAAAATTACGCAAGCCTCACCGCTCGATTTAGCATGCCGAATTTAGTAATTGTAAAATTGCATAGTTTTACAAGAATCCGTTTCCAGGGATCAAGCGTTGCCCCCTGCAATACATTTCTTCTTAAAACTGAATTGGCAAGTTTGGGGTCCCATATTGAGTTAATCTTGACCAATAAATTCGGCACGATAAAAAATCTATGGTGGTGTCTTCACGTAATATATCAAACACGAAACACCGTGTTTGACCACATTTCCAAACACCGAGAGGAGAGTTGAAGATACAACGCGCAGCGGAGTATTTTTGACGAACTTCGAGGTGTTTGGAAATGTGGTCGAACACTGTCTTGAGTGTTTGATACATCTTCTCAATCGAAGCCAAAACTAAGGAGAAAACGCAGAAATAAAATCGTAAAAATCTATGTTAATTAAGATCAGATATCCAAACACTGTCACGGTCATGATTACCTTTGTTTCAAGATGATGAATTATTAATGAGTTTGAGAATGTTTATATGAAAACTTCCACTAAATTGCTGATATTGTGTCATCGATATCGTCAAAATGGTCCATTGCGATAGAAAAACTTCGGGAAAAACCGATAGTATCTTCGTTTTCTTCAGAGAAATCAAAGTAGAGAAACAGCATATATACGTGTACATACAAGCTCCTGGACTTACCCGAATGCTGCAACAAATACTCTCGACAAGCCCTGTACTCCTCCTCTAAAATGGTAGTTGTGAGCTTTACTTCAATGAGACCAAGCTCTCTCAGAACCTCCTCTGTTACAAGGAATATTTGCGCCATTTCATTTAGAAAGCCAGTGCAATAATCAGACCACAATTCGTCAAGCATTTCCAGAGAGCGACATTCAACTGTGATGATCAAACTCCCTGACTGAGTGTCAACGATCAACGTTTTTCGTACTTTCTCCAAGTAACAAACAAAGCCATTTAATTCCTCGGGTTTCGATGGGTCAATTGTCGTCAAGTATTTTGACGCCGCGAGGTTCAAAACTTGTTGTGCTGTGGGAAAACTAGTGTCTGCCTTTCGTTCACGGGAGGTCATAGGTACCATTGTCATACCCTGGCCCGGCAACCCTGTTTCCTGTTCTTGTGAGGCCATTACTATCTCCGAAGCCGGTTCTCTACTTCGTGACGGGAACCCCTCCGGGACGGGAACCCCTGCTTCGTGTTCCTGTGACGCCAATGCTATTTCTGAAGTCGGTCCTCCTTGTTGACCAGGACCTGAGATTGTTTTGCATTCAATCCACAGTCGAAGAGGAGCTGTTGGGAAAGAACCTGTTTTCAACTAGGAGTAGAAGCTGAAAATATTAGAAACAACACCCAATACCTCGGAAAGTCCTTTACAGTGGTTGGTGATATCCTACCATGTGGCACGAATTTTTTTGCGATTTTCGCGGGGTTTTTCACGATCTGCAAAAAAAGTTCCCGCAAAAACTTTGCTCCACTGGCGTAATTATACATACAAACCTCACATGTAGAATCTTTTTGATGCCATTTAGTTAAAACGTCTCTTTAAATAAAACGATGAAACTGCCCAGAGTACGCTACAGGTGCGGCTGGTAAAAAGCGTACTATTAGCTCCACTGGGGTAGTCTGCATACAAGCCAAGTGGCCCATCAGGCCGGAGCTTATGCTCGCTTCTACATATAGCATGAAGCGACTAGGAATATTTCTACTCCCCCCTGGATGGGATGCTATTCCATCGCAGGTTTACCCCCAGCTTTAAATTCGCCGGTACTTATTTGTACGCCTGGGTGGAGAGAGGCACTGTCAGAGTAAAGTGTCTTGCCCAAGAACACAACACAATGTCCTCTGCCAGGGCTCCAACCCAGACCTCTCGATCCAGAGTCGAGCGCACTAACCATGAGGCCACCGCATGAGGCCAATCCACTCCACAGGCTACTTTAAACAAGCCTTGAAATCCGATTAGTTGTTTCGTTTTAGTGTTCCATTTTCAATGGCTGGGAAAAAGGTGCAATTTAGAACAAAAAATAGTGCGATTCGTGAATAAATCGTACTGCTGAGAGCCAATCAGATGATTGCAAGGATCACCAGTGATTTCAAAATGGATGTAATAAAGAACAGAAAGCACTAAGTTGTAAACTACAAGCGAGCAGCTACTGACCTCCTGCTGCGTGAGAGGTGCCTGCGGAGGAGCTCAGCCTGTCTATGGATTGATGCATCTCTCCCAGCTGATCTTTGATGTCTTGGGATTCCTCTCGAACTGCTTTCTCTAAGCTTTGGACGTCTTGACTTGTGGTTTTCAGTTCTCCTCCAAGCTGATCTTTAATTTCTTCTATCCCTCCATCAACACCTTTCAAACTAGTCTCCAAACGTTCCATGCCATCTTGCATTTCTTTCATTGAAGTTTTCAGTTCTTCTATGGATTCCTTTACTTCCATGTCGTTTCTATACCACTCCAACAGTTCCTGTACATTTCGTTCATCCTCTGCTGTGAGGGGATTCCTCAAAAAGTTAAAAATGGCCACTTGCCATTGAGGCTTCTTTGTGGGGCTGATCTGACTTGCAATCCTTACAAGAACCTCGCTGATGTCTTGCCACAGCACTGGAAACTGGTTATCTGCAATTTCCATGTTTTGGTTCACGTGACCAAACACGGAGTTTCGGTAATGTCGAATTCTTGCCAAATCTGCAGCTAAACTCTGGTCTGTACTTGTTGGCAGGGCATCCCAGCCTGTGGCAGGAGGGACGAGGTTGCATATTGTCCTCAGCAACCTGAACAGCAGGGTTACATCAAAATCTGCTGACTTGCCGTACACCCCTGGGGAAGGGTACAGACAGTCCCACTGTGGCTTAGTAAGCTTTGCTGCTTTGAGTTGTTTCTCTGTGGTTGGATGTTTCAGTATTGTGGGAAAATTGCTTGGTGGGCAACATTGATCAAAAATCTCTCTCAGTAGTGTAGTGCCTCCACTTATCAACAGTCGTGAAATACGTTGAAAATTTTCTTTTCCTCTTGTTGAACGGAGCACTTCATCTGGGTCTGGGGCGGTAGCCATTTTGTGCTTCAGTCTAAAGTGAAAATATGAAGTTACTCGAACTCGGTACGTTGGAATAGATTGATATCACTTAGGAATTGATTTAGGTTATATATTATATAAACACGAGTGTTTCACTGGAAAATACACCACTCGTAAAATTCATACGAAGCCACATCTGGGACTCGGGTGGTGTATTTTCCATATCCTCACTAGTGAAGATATTGATGACTTCACTGATACAGTGGAACCTCAATATAACGAAAGACCAAGGGACTGGCAAAATATGTTCGCTATAACGAGGTTTTTCTATATATCGAGGTTCTTTTCGATACATTTTACTGTTACTAGGGCGAAGAATATTGTTCGTTATAACGAGGACTTCGTTATATAGAGGTTCGTTAAATCGAGGTTCCACTGCACAATGCTTGACCATTTTAAGGGTCAAACATCAAAAAACGGTTCTTATATTTAGTTTGTACATGATTGAAACATCTTCGGATCTTCCTTGAAAGTCTTCGGCAATCTTCGGTTTTCTTCGAAATCTTTGGAAATTTTTGGAAAGTAATTATTCAGTATGTATCGTTCGTGTGACCTTCTGACAATTTTTGGAAGTGCAGCTGGAAATCTTCGGAAGATCGTCAAAAACGTTATCAGCAGGGGCGTAGCTAGCGGGGGGGGG